ATCCCATCATCTGCAATACATGTTGCATTAGCTATCAATCAGCAAGGCACAGGCTGTCTATACTCACAGAAGGGAATAGACAAGAATGAATTCTTGCTCGTAGGATGGATTTCCCACCGTAGCTTTTCTAGGCATACAGTCAAGCTGGAAATGACTACCAAGGCTGTGGCTGAATGGCTACATTCCGGTAAGCGCTGGAATGCTGTGTAGCAACTCAACAGTTCCCACTCTCTAAAGCTGATATGAAAAAAATTCTGTTGTTTCGAAGCTACCAAGTTTGCGGCATTTAGTATAGCAGTCGCAAAAAGACCAGGACACAAAGGCGGGGAGCTGTGCTGGAGTGGGGTTCCTTCTAATTCACGAAGGCATTGTGGTTTAGGAAGGTGAGAGGTGGCATAAAGGAAGTTTCTGGTTCTTTACTTTTCTTTTTTGTTCTTTGTAGTTTTGGAGCCTGCCCTGAAACTCACTCTGTAGACCAGGCTGGCCTCAAACAAACAGAGATCTGATTGTCTCTGCCTCCCATGCTGGGATTAAAGACCTGCGCCGCCACTACCCTATGAACACCTAGTTTTTATGACAAAGAAGCTAAAAATATAAAATTGAAAAAAAGAAAGCATATTTAGCAAGTGGTGCTGGAATATCTGGATATCAACATGTAGAAGAATGCAAATAGACCTATATCTATCGCCATGAACAAAACTCAAGTCCAAATGGATCAAAGACCTCAACATAAAACCAACCACACTGAACCTCATAGAAGATAAAGTGGAAAGTACACTTGAATGCATTGGCACAGGAGACCACTTCTTAAGTATAACCCTAGTAGCACAGACACTGAGAGAAACAATTAATAAAGGGGACCTCATGAAACTGAAAAGCTTCTGTAAAGCAAAGGATACAGTCAACAAGACAAAATGACAGCCTACAGAATGGGAAAGGATCTTCACCAACCCCACATCAGACAGAGGCCTGATCTCCAAAATATACAAAGAACTCAAGAAATTTAACATCAAAAGAACAAATAATCCAATAAAAAAATGGGGTACAGACCTAAACAGAGAACTCCCAACAGACAAATCTTAAATGGTTGAAAGACACTTAAGAAAATGCTCAACATTCTTAGCCATCAGAGAAATGCAAATCAAAACAACTCTGATATTTCATCTTACAAAATAAGATGTAAAATAAGATATAAAATTGAAAGGAGGAAGCATATTTAGCAAGTGGTGCTGGAATATCTGGATATCAACATGTAGAAGAATGCAAATAGAGCTATATCTATCACCATAGATATAGCCAAAATCAAAAACACTGATGACAAACTATGCTGGAGAAGATGTGTGGTAAGGGGAACACTCATCCATTGCTGGTGGGAGTGCAAACTTGTACAACCACCATGAAAATCAGTATGGCAATTTCTCAGAAAATTAGGAAACAATCTACTTCAAGACCTAGTAATACCACTTTTGGGTATATACCCAAAGGATGCTGAATTTTACCACAAGGACATGTGCTCAACTATGTTCATAGCAGCTTTGTTCATAACAGTCAGAACCTGGAAACAACCTAGATGCCCCTTGACTGAAGAATGGATAAGGAAAATATGGTACATTTACCCAATGAAGTACTACTCAGTGGGAAAAAAAAATAATAACATCTTGAAATTTGCAGGCAAATGAGTGAACCTAGAAAAAATACCTTGAGTGAGGTAACCCAGACCCAGAAAGACAAAATATAATATGTACTCACTCATAAGTGACTTTTAGAAAAAAGCAAAGAAAAACAAGCTTTGCAGTCTACAACAACAAAGAGGACCTTAAAAGAGACACACACAGAACTACAGAGGAAGGAGAAAAGATAAAATCTCCTGAGTAAATTTGGAACATGGGGGTCACAGGAGAAGGTTGAAGAAAGAGGGAAGAAAGAAAGGGGAAAGAAGAAAAATGTATAGCACAATAAAAACAATTAAAAATGTTCTGTGAAAAAAAGGAAGTTTAACCAGCTAGATATAACTTCCAAAGCCTCTCCCCTGAGGAATATCTTTCATAGGTGCTATGTAAGCAGCCACGGGAGGGAAAGAGCCCGGTCCTACCCAGATGTGATGCTTCTGAGCCACATCAATGGCCAGCACAGTAAGATGTCCTTAAAGTGTAATAGTGACTCTCCTTTCTTGGCAGTAACCAATAGCTGTGTCACTGGACACTGGCCCACTTAACAGGAAGGCCATCGTGCCTGGTCTGGAAATGCAGCCAGCTCCCTCTGACTAGTGAGATCATGGGGCCTGGAGAAGAAGGAACTACTGCCATTTTCACAAACACTGTAATTTCTGACTGCGCACTAAACGCCTTTCTTTATGGTCAGAGAGGAGTGCAGATTTCCTTGCTCATCAAAGAAACTTCTCTTTGAAGTCGACAGAGACAAGTCCAGAAAGCCATAAGTGGTCAAAATGAAGTGAACAACAGATCAAAGTAGTAGAGTGTCCAGCCCAAACAGCTACATCTACAGTACAACCCCCCCATCTAAGACTCAGGGAACATCACAGAAGAGGGGGTGGAAAGGTTCTGAGAATCTGAGGACTAGGAAGTTTTCTGTGAGATTGTGTCTCTTTGAAATGACAGGGAAATAAATACAATTGCTTAAGCAAGACCTAAACCATGAGAACACCGATAGAAACATGAACATGAAAAGGAGAACTCTTCCAGGGCCCTGGTCCTTGACTGAGACATGCAGGCAGTTAAACACCATTGATTGAAGAACTGGTCATTACCAGAAATGGCCCCCCAATAGGTTACCCAATGCCAAGTGGTCAGCCCTAAAACATACACATGTGAGCAACACTAAATGGCCTTATCAGGCTGAGGTTTACATACTCACACACAATAATAAGAAAAAAGCCACAAATTTGAGTTAGATGCAGGCCATGGGAAGAGTTAGAAGGAGTGGGAGGTGGGACATAATATATTAAATTTTTAAATTGAAATAAAAAAATTAAAAATGCTACAACTAACATCTTGTCTACTGTTTTTGAGAGCTTATGATAGAAAGTGGTAGAAGGATGGGAATAAGAGTGTGGGTTTATCATCTATCTCTGGAAAACAGTTCCAGGCCTGATGATTAACCGACCCAAAGTGATGGGAACCTCCAGCCTTTGTCTTAAGATTGTTCCTCTGACTGCAAGAAGGAATCTAAGGCAGGAGGCGTCTCAGATACACATGGTCCTCTCAAGCGAAGATGCCGTTTAAGGCCATGGAAACATCAGAGAAGCAGAACCTGGGTGGGAGGTAAGACTCTGGTAGACTACATGAGAAGGGGTAGAGACTGTCACTGGGCTGAGTGTCAGTAGATAAGATGCCTCTACCGGAGACAGCTTAAGTGCTGGGACACTGCTGCGGGAGCTCCTTCCGCTCCTTCAGCCAATAGCTGCTGAGATACCAGCCCCATCTCAGTGGCTATTGGCTGAAGGAGCGGAAGGAGCTCTCGCACCACACCACTCTGTCCTGTTGACTAGTATTTCTATCCCCACCTTACCCCATCCCTTACTCCACCATCAAATATCGGGGCTACAGGAAATGAAAGCAAGTGTGACCCCTTGTCCTGAAGGGAAGGGATTACGTGGGAAAGAAACACCATACAAGGCAACTGAAGACAAAGAAATGCTTCTGATTGGCTCTCGTGGTCCATTTGGGGTTTGTTTCCACGTATTTGTCATCCTAACACGGCACTGGAGACGTGGTTCAGAAACCTCCCTCTGTGGCTGTGCCCACCACCTAAGGCATTGCCCTCTCAGTTCACAGTAAGCCATTTGTAAGAGTTCTCATCAGGTGTGAGACTCTTAGTTATACCAAATCAGATGTGGATCGTGACTTGGCTCTTGGCTGTATGTGGCATTTCTTGAAGGAGAAAAAACCTGGCATAGCTGTCAGAAGTTATGCTTGGGGGTTAGGCAGGGAGAACAGCTAGGCAGCACAGGTGTCAGGGATTGCGATCGGTTGAGGCCTTCCTGTCTGAACCATTCCAGGTAGACTTGAGGCATTAGCTCACCTGGGAAATACCCACAGGATCAGATGCCATGCTGTAGAATGGTTTTATATTTCGTAGAAATAAAGACTGCCTGAAAATTGGACCCAGAGTTGGACTTACATGCCTGTGTGGATATGCATGGCAATAAGGACTCTTTTAAAAGGCATAGCCCAAGGTTAAGAGCACATACTGCCCTTCCAACAGGCATGAAAATCGTTCCAATTACCCGCACCGGGCAGGTTCTAACTCCAGCTCCAGGAGAGCTCTCTCCTTTGGCCTCCTTAGGGATTGCACATACATGCACATACTCACACACACCATATATGCACATGATTAAAGGTGAAAAAAAACCCCAATCCTATAAGAAAGGGAGTAACTGAGAGGCCCAGTAAGCATGGTTGGGCTTATGTAGTGTTACATTCTTTGATCATCTTAACAAGGTTAGCTGACAATCAGAGGTTAGGCTCTACTGCGTAGCATGTTCACATGTGATATCAGCTAGAGAAATAGAGAGTGCAGTGACACCTGCCGTTGATAAATCTGACTTAGACGGTGTATGGGGGGAAGGAGGGCTGCAGGCCGTGGCAGGGGTGCATTTTGTCATATAAGAGTCCCGGGACATGTACAAGTCGAATCAGTAAAAAGATAGGGAACACAGGAGATGGCTAGATATGAGGGGATGGCTGGTGGAGGTCTAAGAAAACTGAAGATTGGCTGGTGACGTCTCCTCCCTTGATTACAGAAGATACGAGAACCTAGGCAGGGGCAGGTGAAGCCACAGTTACCTCTACTTGGGTTATGCCTTTCCCCCCTTTCCACCTGCAGCATTTTTTCTAATCTACCTGTTACTGGTATGAATTTAGCTCCAGTACCCTGTGGATTGTAGGGGAAACAGACAAACGGCATTGACCGAATGCTGCAGTGAGCACTTGATGTTGACTGGGTTCCAAGCAAGAACAAAGTTTGAAACATCCAGAGCAAGCAGTTCACTGATTTATACTGGAATTTTATACTTGCAGAAAGATGGCACCGACAGGGGTAGAGAGCAGGACCCGGGTTCTCAGCATCTTCCATGGTTGCTCCAGTGAGGCTGCATGATGATGGGGTGGTGTAGAAAATCCTTGGATGTTAATTATCATAGTTCAAAGACTGTAGGTCAAGAGCATTGGTCCAGGCCACCAGGTTGTTCACTTCCTCTTCCCATGGTTCGTTTGACTCAACATCTGACCAATTTTCATGTTTCCATTTCTGTCCTAGTCCATAAAAACTTGGTTCACTTTTTTCAGAATCATAAGACAGCTCGGCTGTGGTGGGAAACACGAAAAACAGAAATTTATTGGACTTAGTGGGATAAACAAAGAAACCCTAATGCCACAATCATCTGACTGATAACATACAACATTTTAAAACATCCTTTTTATATAAAGTGTGTGTGTGTGTGTGTGTGTGTGTGTGTGTGTGTGTGTGAGAGAGAGAGAGAGAGAGAGAGAGAGAGAGAGAGAGAGAGAGAGAGAGTTCAGTGCTTGTAGAAGCTGGAGAGGAGCGAGGTTGCATCCCCTGGAGCAGGAGAACTGGCCTATGCAGGTGCTGGGGACCAAACTGCTGTCCTCAGCAAGAGCAGCAAGAACTCTTCATTGCTGAGGCATCTCTCCAGTCCTCCTACCTCTTCAACCTTCATCCTTTTCTTTTTCCCGTCAACATTTTCCTCACTCATTGATTGGTCCAGCTGACCAATACTTTTAATATCTGCACTGGCTTACGGTTGCGTGTTAGGAAAAGGCATTCTGCCAGCAACCTTGCTGAGATGGAAGATAGTCTTCCCCGGTTCCAGCTTCAAGGTTGTCACAAGCCTTGGGAGAGTCTGAGCAGAGGGTCAGCTCAGATACGCCAGAATTCCTGGCACACAAAAACTGTGAGCTCATAAGTGTGTGCTGTAGGAATTTCATACAGAGGATGACATGGCCAAGAGAGACGTGCTGTTAGAGCTCTTGGGAAACTTCTAGAGAGGCCGACATGAGCTGAGCAAGTCTTATGAGAAATAGAGAAAACCAGAGGTGTTCTGGATTTCTGGAATCTGCCTGCACATAATGAAATATCTTGGGAGGTCCAAGCCTCATTACAAAACTTATCTGTAGTTGGGGGAGGGTGAATAGTGAACACACTGGATGAAATTCACAAAGAACAAATAAAAATTTTAAAAAGCTATACACCTTATGACGTGATGATAGTTTCCTATGATGTGTTAGATAATTTTACACATGGAACAACATGACAATATGTTGACACTCAAAAGTTTTGGAGCATTTCTGGTATCAGATTTTTGCATTAGAGATGCTCACTGTATATTTGAATTGAATGAAAAAGGATATCTAGGTACTAGAATATTAAGAAGAGAGAACAGCTGGGTTGTGATGGCAAATGCCTTTTTATCCCAGCACTTGGGAGGCAGAGGCAGGCAGATCTCTGTGAGTTCGAGGCTAGCCTGGTAGCCGGGTCTACAGACTGAGTTCCAGGAGGGCCAAAAGCTACATAGAGAAACTTTACCTCAAAAAACAAACAAACAAAAAAAGCATTTGGAGTGGGATACAAAGATACAGTGTACGTTTCTAAACCATTAAAATAATGCAGAGAATAAAGAGTAAAGGGATGTCACCCACTAGCTGGGGGCTAAGAGTAAGAGGTGTTACTCAAAATGACAGATAGGTATAGGAAAACCAAACAACCTCAATTTCACCCTGATGGAAACGGAATGAGATGAAAGGATTTGCGATCCGGTGACATCAGCAGACATGAGTGGTGGGGGCCAATCAGACAGAGCATGGGCAGACACCACTATTCCCATCAACGTCCACAACAACCACGCCTACAAAGCAGTTTCTCAGCATTTGGCTTTTGCTACTTTTCCATAGTTTTAAACTTAGCCTTAACTTTTCAGATATTAACATGTTAATAAGCATAGCAAGTTTGGAAGTATAAAAAAATAGTTCTATTTAACAATCTTTAATTCCTATGTAATTGGTTTATTGGACTGATGTTGGTACAGTTGAAGCATACTTTTTAAGCCTCATGCATTCAAACTGATTTGAGCTGAGCAGTAATTTATTATTATAAACAATAGCTTAGATATAAAAGAAAAAAACCAAGCTGAATCCAACTTACTTGGAGATGAGTCGACTGTTGTTTGGACGAAGGGATCTCTATTGCGCCCTGGCAATTTATTTTCTCTAGGAAACCGATACTTAGCAAGCCCAAACCTATAAGACAAAACAAAAAAAGGCATCTATAAATTTTGGAAAGTGTATATTAATTTGAGGAAGATTTGATTTCATTCAAACAGGTTTAATGAAACAGAAAGGTAGGACACAGGCCGGGAACCATGGGCTTGGACATGGTGCCATTCTTGGACAAGGTGACCAACAATGTGGTCTGTGCTCTCCAAAGGAGCAGCAGTGAGAGAAACAAACGTGCTGGGGATTGATATGGTAAATGCTGTCATATTGCACAGGTAAAAATAGCCTGCTGCATAGCAAGGGCCACCATGACAAATGACCACAAACTTGGTGCCTTAAAATGTCCCCTTTGCCCCTGCCCTACATGTGTAGGGATTCCCTGGGATTCCCTGGGATTCCCAGTGGATGCCTAGAACCAAGGCCAGTGCCGCCAGCCTCCCCCCCACCCGCCACAGCTTCTCTACATACATACATACATTTAATGCCTCTTATGTCTTAACTTGTCACCCTGCAGGGAGGGGCAATGATGCTAAGACTCATTTCTTTTTCTCTTCTCACAAACGGAAGATGCAACCCCAGTAACCTCAGCATGCAGGGTCTTTCTTTGCTGATGACATCAGGAATTGTTCTTTCCGAAGCAGTTTGCAGCTTCTTTGGTTCAAATTACATCGTTACCCGTGTGCTTTGCAGGCTGCTACTAAGGAAAAAGGGGGCGTCCTGAGATGTTGTCTCGGTGACTGGTAACCTACTACTTGAGTGACGTGGGTGGATAGTGTGTGGAGTGCTGGCCTGGGGGTTCGAGTCCCACTCTGGGTGAGAAGGTGGGGAAGGGGACTGCCAAATTCCATCATGTTACTCAGAATATATGCATTTGAAGAACAAGTAAGCTTTCCTAGATTTTTCTACTTAATATCTTTAGGCTGTGGTTGTGTATTAGTTGAGGTTTCTATTGCTGTGAAGAGACATCATGACTGTGGCAACTCTTATAAAGAAAAACATTTCATTGGGGCTGGCTTACACTTCAGAGGTTTAGTCCATTACTGTCATGGTGGGAAGCAAGGCAGCATGAAAGCAGACGTGGTGCTGGGGAAGGGGCTGAGAGTTCTCACATCTTGACCCACAGGCAACAGGAAGTGGTCTGAGAGACTGGGCTTGGTTTAAGCATATATTAGTCCTCAAATCCTGCCTCCACAGTGACACACTTCCTCCAACAAGGCCACACCTACTCCAATAAAGTCACACCTCTCAATAGTGCCATTCCCTATGAGCTTTTGGGAACCAATTACATTCAAACCACCACAGGTTGACTTTGGTTAACTGAACCGTGGGTAAGAGGGCTACTGCAGCAGACATATATCCTCACACAGCACGAGAAGCTGGAGATCTGGGTTCAAGGTCACTCCTCTGAAGGTTCCAAGCAGAAAGCCAAAAGAATCTTCTGTCCTCTGACTGGCTTCTACTGGCTCCCAGCAACCCTCGGGTCCCTTGGCTCATAACTACATCACTCCAGCCTCTGTTTTCAGGATTACACAGCTACCTCTCCTGGTGTCTCTATGTGTTGTTCTCTCTCTCTCTCTCTCTCTCTCTCTCTCTCTCTCTCTCTCTCTCTCTTTCTCTCTCTCTCAACAAGTACTTGACTTTTGAGCCACACACTCCAGCTCCCTTTGCTATTGCAAGAATTTTTTCTCATCTCCAGGTTTCAGCAATTTGATTAGGATAGACTTTGGTATTTCTTAATGTTTCCTCTTCTTAGGATTCATGAAGTTTGTTGGTATGTGACTTTAAGATTTTCATCAAATTTGGAATTTTTTCAGCCTTAAAAGTTTTTTTCAAATATGTTCTTTTCCCTTCTTCTGAGATGCATCAACTGCATGAATCTTCTTTCACTTGACAACGGTCCTGTGGCTCGCTCTTGTTCTGCAGGCTCATTTCAGTCTTCCCCCTCTCTTTAGAAGTTTGAATGGAGCTTGTTCTTTAAGAAGTTATTAAAATTAGCATGCAAACAGGTTTCATTATATATATGTGTATATATATATATATATATATATATATATATATCTCAGACTTTGTTCATATTTATCCCCTTGAGTCCTCCTCACGCCCTGAATGTTATTGGAATTTTGATGACATTTGTGTTGAGTCTATAGATCACTTAGTATTATAATACAGTCATTTTCCTCGTCAGTTTTAGAAGCTCACTTTGCTGGATATAGTACTTTTGGTTAGTAGTCATTTCCAGAGCTTGAGAGACGTTACTCCATGATTTCCTGGCTTTGCGGGTGGCGGAAGAGAGTTCTGACATAGTCTGATTGATGTATTAGCCTTTGTAGATGAGTTGGAGCTTTCTGAAATTTCACCTTTCTCTAATGCATGCAAGTATGCACAGGCCAGAATACGATCTCAGGTGTCCCCTGTCTTAATGTCCATTTATTTTTCTAGATTTAGAAAATTTTCTGTTCTAATTTCATAGCATAGAGTATTTTTTTATTCCAGTTTTTCCTGCTCTGTGGATTCTTAGTAAAGTCTCCTGAGTTCCCGGGTGCTGTGGACATGACTTTTTTTATTCCCCTTTATGAATGTTTGAGTACAGTGTTGTGTTGTGGGCTTGTCTGCCCCCTCTGACAGTCTTTCTTCTCTTGGCTGACACTGTGGTTTTACTTAATTGCTGGGGTTTTTAATTTTCAATGTTTCCCTTTATTTTCTTTTCTTTCCCTTCCTTCCTTCCTTCTTTTTTTTTTTTTTATTTGAAACAGAACGTCCCAACACTTTAATTTTTTTCTTCACATTCCTGACTTTTCCATCCACATTGCTGGCTTCAGGTCACTGCTCATTTTTGCTGGCAAATGGCTGGGTTCCTTTATCGGGTGTTTTACCCATTTCGGTGTCTTTGATTGGTGGTGAGGAGTGGATGGCCTTTTGAAGGTGCCATGCTGAAACTATGGGAGACATCATGATTCTTATGTCACCCTGGTGCAGGCGTTGCTAATTGTTTCTGTCTGGCTCCAGGTTTACTGTGCACTGCTGAAGTGAGCCCGACTGCTACACCTTCAAGTTCACTGAAGAGTATTTTCTGTTCTTCCTATAGAAAAGAGTGTGTGGGTGTGTTTGCAAATATTAATTTTAATGGAATTTTAAGTTGTATATACACACTTATATAATTTTAGTGTATTGATAAAGTTTAATATATAATGAATAAGCATATATAAAATTTGTATATATGTATCCATACAGTATGCATTTTTACCATACTGATTTATTTTTAATCTATAGATGATCTTTGTTCTTTTGCACGTCTTCTTCATTTTCAAGGTTTTCTTTTCACTGAAAATAAATTTTCCCCCACACAATGTATTCCAGCCACGGTTTCTCTCCCTCATCTCCTCCCTGCTCCTCCGCACCGTTCCACCCGTCCAACTCCATACCCGCCTCCCCTTTTTTGTTTGGTTTTTTGAGACAGGATTTCGCTGTAGTTTTGAAACCTGTCCTGGAACTAGCTCTTGTAGTAGACCAGGCTGGCCTTGAATTCACAGAGATAGATCCTCCTGCCTCTGCCTCTCGAGTGCTGGGATTAAAGGTGTGCGCCACCGCCGCCTGACTTTTTTTTCTTTCCCTCTTTCTTTAGAAAACAGGCAGGCAAATAAGAAAACAAAACCGAATACAGCAAAATAAAGAGAGGAAAAAGCAGAAACAAAGAAAAATCATGAGAAGCACACACACACACACACACACACAGGAAACCCATAAACCCACAAAATCAGGAACTATAACATATAAGCAAAAGATCAGTAAGGTTAAAAAAATTTGACCAGGCAAAGCATTAGGCAACAAAACCAAAATCTCCAAAAGTGTTGAGTTCATTCCGAGTGGGCCGTTTGTCAGATATGAACATTGCTGCTTGAAGGTCCTTGTCTACGAATACTGTCATCAATGTTAATGACTTCTGGCAGGGGTCACAATCCTGCTTATATTCATAGCTAGTTGTTTGGTATGGGAGGATAAAAACTGTAATTTTGAGTAGTCAGATTCTGAATTTTTTTTATCTTTTCTTTAAGTAAGTGCTTATGTGAGTTGGTGCCTTGAATCATCTTGAAACCTCCTTGGTCAGTTCTTTTTTTCTTCCTTTTTTTTCAGTTCTAGGACAGTCTTTTACTGGGGGCTAGACGCCTCTTATGTCCGCCTGATGTTCATTCTCTCTCTGACAGGGTCTGGTTGGTGGAGCCCAGATTATTTTTAAAATTTCTGTAGGTGAGAATGACTTTGAACTCATTGATCTTCTTGCCTCCACTTCTCAAGCTCTGGGATTACAGGCTCGTGTGAACAGGCCCAGTCATCCAATGCCATGAGGTCTCTCCGCTCAAGGCCACAAGAACACAAATAATTCCCAGGTCTGTGTCAGTGAAGAGCTATAAAGAAATATTAGGATTTAATTTTCCTTATGGTAAATATGACTTC